CTGGCTATATTTTACCTAACAAACAGAAGTCCTCAGAATCTTCTTTATAAGAACTTTAAAGATTTGTATTTAGACTTTTAAAGTCAGCGTAATCAAATTATTTTAAGAAAAGGTTTCTTTTACCAAACTTACAGTAATCTCTTCTCAGTGCCCTGGTTCTAAGTTCTGAGGTGCTAACCAACCTCCCAGGATAGCAGTAAGGCAGACCAGGGAAAGAAGAAACAGGTAGAGGGAGAAAAAATGCAAGCAGAAACCTCATGTTCTTTTAGGCCTGTAAGATCAGCTAGAGGCTGCAAGGGTACAGTCCAGAAGTGGGTTTCCTGAAGAAGAAATAAAAAAGGAAAGGAGAAAAGAAGTTTAATTTATTTAGCAATCATGAGGGCAGATGCAAAAACAGCTGGTAAGGCAGGCTGCCCACGCCAAGCAGGAGCAGCCCAAGCCAGGTTAAGTCAGTGCTTCTCTGTAGCACAAACAAAGAAACCCTTGGGAAGGGTGAAGAAAACAGTCACGCTCCCTGTCATCAAACCTCCCCATTCAAGGGCTATCCCTACAACTGATGGCCAGCTGCTGCACGGGGATTACCTTGGGAGAGTTGCCTGTGACTGTGACCCGAAAGAGAAACATGGACACACACATCCCAGCCATCATGGAAAGCAGCAGTGCATGCCGAGGATTCCCGTAGCTTGACAGACCCACCTGTAACACAGGAAGGAAAGCTGAGAGTGAGAAATTGGAGGGACCTCCTTCCTTTTATACTTGTAGTGACTAACATCATCCATACAGTCCAGTCAGAAACACGGATGGCACATCAGCAGCACACCATGCACACGGCAGAACTGGGTACAGGCCTGTTTCTCAGTCGTACCCACAGGGATGCCACCCTGCCCAAGCCCCTTAGTGAAGCAGCTCAGATTGATGCTGTGTTACCTGCCCAGCACACCTGAAGGTGCACATTACTTACTCTTGCTACTGCTCTGTCAGACAGGTATCCAGCAGCAATGCTTCCCACCAGGCCCCCGATCTCCAAGGCACTCATGTAGGAACTGCCTAGAATGCAGGTAAAGTAAAGAACAGCCCATCAGATTTGGTATAAACGGCAAAGCTGCTGTGGACATCAGACCAGCCCCACTGTTGTCAGCTCACAGTGAGCTTGAGCAGCTCTGTTGGACACAACCCTCTGGCTCATCCTTGTTCAGGAATGTCTGTCTGCCATCCCAGGAGGGTCCTGGCACGAGGGGCTTTGTGCACACAGTAACTACATCACTGAGTTATTTAAACACCTGCGTGTATCTAAGCAGACAACTAGAAGGTAGGCAAACAAGTCCCTCAGGTGGAGAGGCGTCTGTCCTTCTGTACCCAGGCAAGCTCTGGGCAACACCTCCCAGACAGCAGCAAAATGCAGCTTTGCATCTTACCCACAAGCATGGACTGTCCCCTCTCCTGGATCAGGAAGAGCTGTCCCCAATCAGTACAGCACGTTTTCACTCCAAAAACGACCAGGTAGCCTGTCGAGAGCACCCAGAGGTATGGCGAGAGCAGCAGCTCTGTCAAGGTGCTGTTGTCACTGGAGGAACCTGCAGGAAGGTCGGGAGGAGCATTACCACAGCTCGAGCACAGCTGCTGAACCACACAGACAGATCTGCAGGCAGGACCCATGCACGAGAACATCCCCACTCAGGGAGATATTCACAGCTGCTGCTTTACCTCCCCTTGTTCTGGTGATTTCAGAATCTTTTCTGTCATTTTATGCCACATTCATTAAAGATTTGAAAAGAATAATCAAAACACAACTCCCAGGAATTTTCTGTATTGTGGTTGCCAATAAACCTCTTACAAAGGTTGTTAAAAAATTTATCAGCTTCTCCAGATTCTCTGGGAGAGTTTTTAAGCTGTGCCTGTGAAAGCCACTGCACAGACCCAAAAAAAGATGCTGACTTTCAGGTGCTACCTTGATTTTTGCATCAGTCTTCCAGAACACCAACAAACCTGCTCTCTCCAGAGAACACTCCAGGGAAGCAATATTCTTTTCTTATGCAAAAGGGTCAAGTCTGGCAGCACAGGCATCATGGGGCAGTGTGGCACATAAGCTGAGTTTCCACTGGCCTTTAAAATACAACAGCAATCTTGTGTTGCAATTCCCCTCTACCTGTTCTGCTTTCAGAGAATCACCACACTCAGTGTTCTGAGCAAACATTTACTAACTAGATGTCCTAGGTTAGGACAGAAACACTGAGCAGAGTCCACTGTGAGCCAGGGGTCAAGAGAACCCATGGGGGGGTGAGGGGAGAATCACGTGCCCCTGCCAGTGCAGACGAGCAGAAGGTCAGGCTTAAGGAAGCATTCCCTGCTGTTGTGTTTTCCTCTCTCCAGCACTCCACTAAGACTGTGCTCACAATCTGAGAGCACAAGGCCCCAAGAAAACCAGGGCACTGGCAGCAGGAAGACATGACTCACGGGGGGAGAGCCAGCCGTGAGCTTCTCACTGACACACAGGTGGCTGCTGGCAGGCTGAGGAGCAGGGCTAAGAGAGATCAGGCTCTTTGCCCGCTCTGCGACAGTCTCAGGAGCCCTCACACCATTCCCTTCCCACAGGATCAAACTGGCCCTTGGTTTATACAGTTTGTAACTTCAACACAGCAGCTCAACAGTTACGAGAATAAAACTGCCAAAATCAACCCCTTAACGCGTGACTGCCAAGCTGTGATTTCAGGAATTGGGAAGGATGGGGGTCTCTGTACACTGAGAGCCACACACCTGTGCCAGAATAGACAGAAGGCACCGCACCTTTTCCCATGGCTGCCTGTCACATGCAAAGTCACATGCTCACCTTTCTTCCCTTTCTTGGCTCCTTGTTCAATGTTGGGCAGCCCAACATCCGACGGCTCGTTTTTAATCAGGACAAGGCAAACAAAAGAGACAACCACGCAGGTGAAGCCAGAGAAGGACAAAGTCATGCGCCAATCGTAGTTCATAGACACGAGAGCAGCGACAATGGGGCCTAAGCCTCCAGCCAAGTTCATGCTTGTAGACAGGATTGCCCACCAAGTCCCAAACTGGGAAGGCTCAAACCACTGTGCAACAACAAGAAAAACAGCGTGAGGTGTAAGAGAGTGACAGCACACCTGAAAATCCTCCCTTGAGGCCCATGCTGTGGGGTTGGAGCAATTCAGACACTGATCTACAAAAGCAGGTAGAGGGAGCACCCACACTTCACTACTTTAGTCATGCAGGGAACTCCAAACATTACTCAAGTGTCAGCCTAAGAGCCTGACAGGTGCTCACACTGTGAGCCAGCTCAGACTCACTTCCATTTACAGATCATGAAACTGAGACGTGGGCCAGGAGAGGCAAATTTAAGAGCATGTGGTTCTGCGTACTCACTTGCTAGGAACTGTGTAGTCCTGGAGAGGTCTGCTGGCTCCAGACCATGGATGGATATACAGAGAGTCACGGGGTAACTTTAGGACTCGCTGTTGCATTAAGTATCAGGCATAATGGGCTCTGTGTTGCAACAAGTACTGGGAGCCAGAACCACTTGGGTCATTCTTGTCAGCAGGAAAATGTCTGAGAGCTACATTCATGAATGTCTTCAGGAAATACCATGGCTGATGTTTCTGTTATTTGGGACCTTCTTTTCCGTGCATGCAACCATCCTGAACAGCCCTTTTCTCGTCCCTTAGGTGAGGCTGGGTGCCTGGCAGAAGGGCAAGGCAGTTGTTCATCTCTCCCCCGCCCCATTCCGCAAGTACGTGCAGTACATGCATTCCTGGATTTTATATCTTCCATGAGGGATCAGCACAAAGCTAACCAACCTCCTTTCCTTCTGTTTCCTTCCTCCTTTCCTATCTGTTCCCTTAAGTCTGTCACAAAGCCCAAGTACGCAGAGCTTAGAGAGTCACCTCACACTGTTACCTCACTCCATGTTACCCGGTTTTATACCTGAACAGCCTGTGGTTTGGAATTCCTGAGTTGCCCAAGCGTGCAGATGGAACTCTGCTCATTGCCCCCTCCCCTGCAGCAAACCACCGCAGCAGCAGATGAGCAGTCCTCTGTGTCCACGCTTAAAATATTTAATTCCAACAAAGTCCATCTCTACAGGGCAGAACTCTGCTACCAGGGGATGTTACTCACCAAACACAATCAGAGTCAAGGCACATATGGGCAGGGACTACAGACTGGATCTTTGCTATAATAAGCAGATCCCTGTGCACAGAAACTTGTTCCACAGGCAGCAGAAAGTACAGGTAGTACTTCTGACCTCCTCGGCTAGAAGGGAGCAGGAAGAGGTGCAAGTTCCTCTGGATTCAGAGCAAGCATGGCCTTCACAGTCCTGCTGCCAGGACAGGTCAGGAGAGCGGTGACAAGTTTCCTCCCCCTTTCCCCACACTCACCTTCCGCAGGATCTTCCCGCACGGTGGCCAGCCCAGCCCCTGGGCCAGGCCGTTGAGGAACCAGAGCCCGGCGAAGGCCGTGACGGTGGAACTCCAGGAGAAGACCACGTTGACCAAGCCCACCATGAGGAGGCCGGAGGAGAAGAGCCAGCGGGCGCTCATCTGGTCCGAGAGGACGCCGCTGATGAACTTGCTGATGGCGTAGGCTGCGGACTGGCTGCTGGTGATGAGACCTGCGGCGGGCAGAGCCCGGGGGGCGCCTCAGCCCGCGGCACGGCCCCCCGGGGCCGGCGGGGCGGCGGGGGCCGGGACCGGCACTCACCCAGATCGTCCTTCCCCAGCGGCACCTCGGCCATGACAGCGGGCATGACGAACGAGAAGGTTTTGCGGTTGAAGTAGTACAGCGTGTACCCCACGAACATGGCCGCGAAGATCACGGCCCGGTACCGCCCGTACCCGCCGGCCGCCATCGCGCCGCGCTCCCCGCGCTCCCCGCGGGCACGGACCGGAGCGCGGAGCCGGGCACGGACCGGCCCCGCCCCGCGGAAGTCCCGCCCCGCCCCGCCCCGCCCGCAGCTCCCGGCACAGACGGCACCGCTCGGCAGAGCCTCTCAGGAACTGTAGTTTTTATTTTTGGTTGAAGAGGCCCAAACGGAGAACAACGTCAGATGCACATTCGCGGCCGTCGGACCCCATTTGTCTGTGTGGCAGCAGCAGCGACGGTCCGAGGGGGGCAGGAGGCCACGGCCAGGACAGGGAGGGTCACGATGAAGCTGGTCTGAGTGCACAAGATGCCAAGGAAGGAGGGCAGTTGCCATTACATTTTCCAGGTTTGGTTTTGCCTACCCTTTGGTCCGTATCGCCATCCCTGTGACTACAGGGTGTGCCAACACAGCCCTTCTTTCCCTCTCCTCAGCATTCAGTGTTGCCTTTTCTGAACTTCTTAAACTATAAACAGAATCTTTTTGTCAAGTCTCATGTCATAGTTTTTGGACTCTATTACAGAGCACAGACAGATGGTTTTAACAAACAGCCTCTGGAAAACAGACACAGCCGTATCTCAAAGCACGGATCATCTGCCTCCCCAGTTCTGTTCAGCCTTCCCATGAATCCAAACAATAATACACTTCCCACCAGCTGAAATCGCATACTTGCTGTAAGTCAGAGCCTCATATGCAAAGACAAGAGCACCTCAGCTCTATATCCTCCTGCGAATCATCTTCACCAGAGGAGGGCAGAGTTTATGTTCCAAGTTACTTCCTAAAGCTTAAGTTGTTTCTTTGCTGCTTTCTCCCCACAGAAAAGTCACTTTGGTGACTTCTGTACTGAAACAGAGATAATTCTTGGTGGGCACTCTGCCACACATAAGAAAAGAAAAATAAAAACCAATTCACTAAGTTAGTAGCGGCAAAATCCCCAGAAAGAACAAAAAAATAAATTTACATCTCTATCCCATTGTGTTGTCAGACTCTTGTTGTGTTCCATTTACATCATGACTAACCAGGTCCATGAGAAAAACAAGAAAGTAACAATGAAATAAATAGATGCTGACATTCGTGAGATTTCAGGGTGTTACAACTCATCATTTTTCCTGCTTTCTCCTCTAGCTTCTGTCTTCTCATTTTTGGACCCTGTGTAAGGAAGCAAACTCAGTTACACACTGCAGTGGGTTTCACAGCATGCAAAGCAGTGCCAAGAGTCCCTGACATTCACCAAGTTTTCCAATAAACTCTCAGTCCCTGGTACAGAGGTCAGGGATGCTTTGGGGACTGACACTCGTGACCTGCACCCATTAACAGGCTGCCCTGGGGACGGGAGCGGCAGAACCGGACCGTGCCTGCATGGCAGCTCTCGAGCAGAGCCAGTCCTACAGCCACAGGACTGGCTGCAAACTGCAGGGGCAGGGGCACAGAGCAGCTGCTGAGGCAGCTGTGCGTTACAACTTCATTCTGAACAACAAAAATGCAGGAAGAGCAAAGAACCAGAATCTGTCTTCCTGTTTGCAGAATTAACAATCTATCTGCAGTCAGGGGTTCTACCCTTGTACTACCTCCTGCAGCTAAAAATCTGCACAGCAGCCCACAGACAGCTTGCACTTGCAGCTCCCAAGTTACAGATCGTTAGTCAAACATTTACCCACCAGAGTCTGATCCAGGCTCAGCATCTATTGCTGCTTTCTCAGCTGTAGGAGGTTCCTTGGCTGGACCAATATCCTCCAGTTTGTCTACATTTAAAGCAGAAAGAAATAAAAGTCAAGGGAGAAAACACAGGAGACAAGGTGCAGGGAGATTAGGTGAGTAGAAGCAAGGTTAAACCAGCCATCTGTGGTGCCTCAGCAGGACTGTAATAGTTCACTCTCACAGCGGATTGCTCTGTAACACTCAGAGAAGCATCACAAAACTGCTCCTTATTCCCCGCTGCCTCTGAGTGCCAGGCTTTACATCCTTGGAAGCTCTGAAGACTGACTGGTTGCACAGGCAAGTGACCTTTGGAACTGTGACTATAAGCAGGATCCCTCGCTCAGGTCAGAGGAACGAGCAGGAACTCTGCTGACAAACAGCACTCCAGATTTAAAAGGACCAGGGGACTCAGGCCCTTGGATTTTAGAAAGTTCAAAAACTGCAAGTCCTAGTGTCCCAAGATATTTTTTTTTCCGGGCTCTATCTAGGTCACAAATCTTTCTCATCAACAGCTCATTCTATTCCTTGATCTAGCACCAGACCTTGAGTATTTCCCTCTGCACACCAGAGTGCAGTCAATGGCTTATCTTTCCTAGAAGGCAACCAGCGAGACAGATGCTAACCATCGTGGGAATATATATATACTTTCTGTTTCCTCACAAAAAAAACCAAATGGTGGGGGGAAAAGGATGCTGCCATATGGAGATTTTCCCAGCTGTCTTTGTAAACTAAGAGGAAGGTAAATTAATTCCACAGTTAACTACTGTCCTCCCTTCTTTAGCTCCTTTTCATTCAAGGCAGAGAGACGCAAGTGTGTTACATGTGGTAATTATATACTAAAAGTTATATACACACTCCCCACCTGCTCCTTACCTTCTTGTTTCCCCTCCGTGGGAGGGATAGTGTTCTCAGTCTCAGGGGCTGCTGTAGCATTCTTGGCTGAATCGGTTTTTGTGGCGTTTTTCTCCCTTTTGGGTTTGGGTTTTGCAAACTTGGCCTTATTCAGGAGATACTGCACTTCCCTGTCAAGGGCTGCTATCTTGAGCTCTATATCTTTGGACAGCAGCACAGGTTTCTCAGTAGGAGAGAGCTTGTTCTGTTCAGCCAGCGTCTCATTTTTCCAGATCTGTGGGACGTGAGGGAAGAGGTGCTTTTGGAATGCATCTGGGTTACAGGAACTGCTGTATATCACAGTATCTCAAAGTCACTGTCCCTAGTGTTTCTGTCTTACTCAGGACAGCTCTGCTCCCCGCTGCACAACCTCTTACTTACTCAGACACAGGACAAAGAGAAACAAAACCCAGCTGCTGCCTTTAAAAACCACAGTCAGATCACTGGGCTCTACCACCACCCCGGAGACAACTCCAAATCCAACACAGGAACCACTATACCCCCCGGACATGCTGGTGTCAGGCTGGGCATTAGGAAACACTCAAACACACAAAAGGTTTGCTGGTGGCACAAAAACAAAATATGCACACTCTACTCCATGACCTTCAGTGAAAGGACAGGGAGGAAACACAACCCAAGCTGCCACCCCACCCTCCCCCAGCATCACTCCATCCTTTAGTACCGTTGTTTCATTGATGGCTTTTTCCAGTGTACTCAGTTCCACTTCTGTGAATATCTGGTCAGACTCTGGAATCATTCGGGCTCCCCTGTAGACAAGAAGAAAGCTTATTTTTGCTAAGCCAAGCAGACTGCACCTTGGCAACTCTGTAGTTACAGCTCAAGTAATACAATAACAAAATAACCACCATGGGGTGCAAGCAGCACTGGAACCTTCCTGCCCCCCCAGTTTGGACAGAGCTCACGTGTGCCTGTTCAAGGGTCCTACAGACTTGGGCATAGGGAGCAGAGCTCTGCTCGTCTTCTCTCAGGAAGTGCCAGTGACTTTCAGACCACATTCACTCTGGTCTCGTTCTGCTGGCAGCTCTTACATGACCAGCTGCATGACATTCCCTCCCAACAGCCTGCTCTTACTTGAGAAAGATGGTGGAGTGGTTGAGCAGACTTTCTAGGGCAGCCAGACGTTCTGGCCACTTTCTCCTTTCCTCGACACGGAAGAAGAGGTTCCTACAAAGCTTTTTCAGCTCTGAAAGCTTGTCTTTCAGCTCCTGCAAATGGGGGAGAGGAGAAAGGAGACACTTAGTTTGACCATTGTCTAACATTGTTAACCTCAGAAGTTAAAACTGCATTTATTGTTCACTCTATCAAATACACCATTTTAGGGCAGTAAAAAGAGCCACACGACAAAGCTTTAAGTGGAATCAACTTCGTATTTTGTTCTGTGCATAATGCACTTAGGAAGCAAGAAACTCTCAAGAACGAGATTACAAAGGCTCTGTCAGCCTGTGTGATCATTTCCATGTCAGTGAGAGCAGACTGGTATCCTGACTGCACACAGCAATACCTTCGTTGCAGCTGCATAGCCCTCCTCCTCCATCCAACTGGAAGCCTCATTAAGCTTTTTGGAAATTTCTTCTCTCTGCTCCTCTGTTGAGACAAACTGATACTCCTCTTGGTAAAGCTTGTCCTGAAAAGACCAGAGCAAACACTCCTGTCAAACACCACTGAGCCTGGAAGCATAAAACAAACAGAGCACTCACAACTGGGCTGGGGTGCTGCCTGCACCCTCCCACAGCCAGGAGCATGATGAGAACACACCAGGTATAGACACATGCACAGCCCAGGTAAATGATGGTGATGCTGCAATAGCCATAACTTCACATGCACTCAACACTAGTTGCTTCTTTTGCACAACAGTTCCTGAGAAGCTGTAGCTTCTTTAAAGCCTGGGGGCAATTGTTCCAAAGCACACAAGTAAGTGCATATAAGGGATACTGGAAACCCCAAATACAATGTGTTACACACACTGAAGGGAAGGTTCATTTTGTACTGAGGAAACATGGGCCTGAGAAGCCTAACAGCATCAAAAAAAGTGACTGAAAGATGAAAGCTAGGCTCTTCAAATCAGCTTCCCCCAGCTCAAACAACATTCCTGCACTCAGAGGAGCCACAAACTGTGCAAGACACTTCTACTTGCTCTCCCAGAATTCTCATTTCTTTATATCCCTCTCTTACCTGGGTCTCAAAGATGAATGACTCCAAGCTGTTGGCCGATTTTTCCCTTTCCTGTTTCTCTAGATCTCTGATCGTCAAGTCTTGGAGTCTAACAGGCAAAGAGAAGAGAAATCAAAGGTAGGAAGAGCCTTTGCATGAGCAGCACATCACACACCAGCTCCTGAGCAGTGCTATATGAGCCATCACCATTCCAAAGCAATCCACTACCTTCATCTAGAGCTCTAACCTGGCAGAGCCATTTCAAACCTACTTTTTCATTGAGCTCTTCAGTTCATCTTCGACCAGGTCAGGCACATCGTTTACATCCACCTCCATGGTGACCTCATGGACAAGCTTCTGCTTCTTGGGTGCTTTGATCTTCTTCTCTTCCTCTGTTTTGGCAGCTGTGCTGTCACCAGAACTTTTGGACAGTTCTTCCTCTTTTGCAGTTTCTCTGTTTTCTTTAGGATCCTGTAACACACAGTATGTTCTCAGGCAAGGAAGAGATTTTCAGACTCTGCCAATTTTTTTCCAAGGCAGGGCACTAACAGAGAAGGGAGAATTTCACTGAGGAAATGCCATTTCTCAGGTATGGAAATTAGTCTAATTCCTTCAATCTGATGCTTACCTGAGGCTCTAATTTCTCGCCTTCTTCCTTTTTCTGTGACTCTGCTTTCGGAGAGGCAGTTTCTGCCTGGCCTGGAGACTGCTGTTTCTCTTCTCCCTGCTCTTCACCAGCATCTTCAGTACTGCTTTTCTGGTCTTGTTTCTCACCCTGCTCTTCTTTACCTGTTTCTGCTAGGCTCTCTTCCTCTTCCTGGTGATCACAGGCAAGTAAAGGGGAAAGCAAACCAGCGTTTTAAATGTAGAAATTCCATGCAAATGTTTCACCGAAGAGGTAATTCTACATAATTGCCACAAAAGACACAGGGGCTCCCTCCTGCTGGCAATCCCCCTGGGGCTCACCTGAACAGAGTCTGTCAGGTTCTCTCCGGTCTCTGGTGTAGGGCCGCCACCCCCAAACAGGCTTGAGATGGTGTTTCCAAGTTCTGTCGATGGGAGACAAAAAATCCAGAATGTTACGTATCCAAAGGAGGAAGAAAGTCTTCTTCAGCTTTCAGTTCTTCCCCTCACAACCACAACGATTGCCAAGGAGCTCCCTTGGCAGCACAGGTGAACTCCACACACTCCAGACTCATCCTTCTCCGACCTCCCTCCATTGTCCTTGCGTGCACAGACTGTGTAACCTCCCACATCCAAAGAAATGCAATGCTTGTAGTTATCTCAGCCACTACAGGTAACAAAACAGTCAGTGTGAATACCAAAGTTCAGCATTTACTTGTCAGTGTTGACTCCTCCTCCAGCTTGTCTTCCACCGAGGTCTCAAACACAGATTCCACCTTGAAAATAGGGAGCTCAGGATTAGTTTTAATCGGGGACCATCCATACCAGAGAAAGGGACAGAACTGGAAAACACATCAGCTGACAATCATCCAAACAGGTGGTGCTTACCCGGTCAAGACTCAGTACTCCACTCTCATCCATGTTGAAGTGAGCTTTGATGCCTTTGGATTCATAATCTGAGTGCTTCTTGAAACTCTCCCCGACTCCCTTTAGCCTCACAGTGGTGAGATTAAGAGAACCAAAAACTCTGATGACACAGAGACAAAAGCAGAAAGAGAACTCAGGATAACAGTGCTTCAGAACAGCTAACCCCTGCTCATGGTCACGCTGGCAGTGATGGGCAACTGCACAAAGCAGGGACTGGTAGGGGTTCAGTTTGCTAAAGCACATGCAGCTCAGAGTATAGATGTGCCAGTGCCAGTCAGACACACAGGCTGCCCGCCAATACATTTCCAGCCAGGCATGTTGCACTGCCACGGAGCTGCCAGCTCAGGTGCTGGGCTCAACTCACCGCAGGTCATCCTGGCTCAGGAATGTCAGATCCCCATAGTTGACGTAGAACTCAAAGTCATCTGTGTAGCGGTTGAAAGTGATCACTTTGCGCTGGGGATAGGGCGCCATGCGCTGGAACAAAATCCGCTTGTTATGCTTTAAACTCCTCGATTTATCATCCTCCTCAACTTCACGAGTAAACTCCACCTGCACAACAAACAGAAAATGACACTCAGCAAATGCCAACTTCTTCTGTGGCATCTACATCAGCAGCATCTGGCTTCTCTGCTTCATGAAAAAGTTGGGGGACAGGAAAATATTCCTCAACTGATGTTTCCATATGTCTGGCTCCTTGGATATTGCACTTCTACAGTACAGAAGACTTTCTTCTGCTTTCTTTATTAGATTGGCAGAAAGACCTCTCAGAGTTTCCTTACTCAAAGGAAACCAACAGGTTCAAACCTGGACTGTTTCTCCCAGCACAGCCCCATTTGCCCAAACCTTGCACAAGAGAAGGAAAGCCAAGGGTTACCTGGATAGGAAACACAGCAGCATCCCGAACAACGAAGGGCTTCACCTTAAAGGCTTTGCTCAGAGCAGCTGCCTGGTAGACTGCACCCATAGCAGCAGCCTCATCAGCATTGATATTCTTGCCCAGCTCTTCTCTACGAAGGGAAAAGCAACAGACATGAGGTTTGCAGCCTCTGCCACAAACAGCAGCTTGCCAATGGGAGGCAGACTAGAAGGGGGCCTCACATACTCACTTGCCCACAGCTTTCAGCAAAACCTCCTGCACTTTGGGGACCCGTGTGGCACCGCCAACTAGAATCACCTGGTCAATTCCATCCTAGGGATTGGAAACAGTCACCTTGTCTTGAGAAAGCAATTTTGGAAAGCTAAGTTCAGGGCTTCCTTACACTCCTTCCCCAGTCACCACGTGCTGATGGGGTGCTCTTAAAGCACCCTGCTGTCCCCATGCAGGCCAGTGCCTGACAGAACTCAGACAGAATGACACAAGCCATGCCAACATGAGGCACCTGGAGTCAGGTCTGTCAAAGAGTGACAATGAGATCATGGCTTCAAGCCACCTGAAACATGTGGCTTGACTCAAAATTAAACAGACTATAGTTCAATGTCAGAGGAGATAGTGACCCAGGAAGCCAGTTGGACCAGAACAGACAGAAACCTGGACTCTAAGAGGTGACTCAGTGTCTTGCATTGAAGACTAGAGCCCAAAGTTGCTCAACAGCATCCTGGCACCCTGGAAAGTGAGCACTTAACACCGCAGTGAAAACTGCCTCAGGTTTGGTCCAACTGCAGCCCAAAAAGGGGCTCCCTTCAGGAAGTGCACAAAGGAGAAGCACAAACACCAATAATTCTGTTTCCAGGCTCTTTCAGTTAAAACTTCAGGAGGGAGACCAGAACCAGCATCCAAGACAAAAAGAGGAAAGATCAGTATTTCAAACCTCCAACCAAGAGTAAAGTGTTTTAACAGAAAGAAACCCCTCTTCCAAGTCCTTCATTTCCGGTGGAATGTGCAGGGAGCCACAACACACTCCTGCTTGACACTGCAGCAGGTAAATGCTCTGCAGCACCAACACCACTATCACAATAGCAGGCATCTACCTCCCAGCAGTGCTGATGACACAACCACGGGTGCCTCGATCATGATGTGACAGCAGCTCCACAGACAGAAACTTCAGGCTCGTTAATCCATTCTCATAAACATACCATGTTCATCTCTGCACTGCTCAGAGCCTGTTGCACAGGTCCTGGGACGCGCTTGAACAAGTCAGAGCACAAATCCTCAAATTCTTGCCTTGAGACCTTGGCTTTGAAGTCGATGTCATCCAGTAGTCCCTCAATCTGTCCAGAAAAAACCCAGCCAGAATAAAATTATTTGTGGAGCATTCTCTGAGCAAAATCTTTGCATGACTTGCCCAGTATGCAAAAAGTTCTGGCTTTCTTAACACACCATGGACCTGATTGTGCTCATCTGACCCTCTGCCATTGCTAAAGTGATAAGAGGATGGAACATGGGTGTAATAGCTTCTCTCAGTGAAAGTTTATTTAACAAACTTGATACGAATAACTCTCCTTCAATCCACTTAATCATTGGTGCTACCAAGTGGGCACAAACCGAGAGGCACCACAGGAAAGATGCTCCTCGGCAGACCAGCACTGCAGAGGCACAGTGTTCCCTCACACCAGTCCTCAAGTCACCCCACCCTTAGCCCAAAAAAAAGCAGGAGCCCCAAGCAGCAGGTCAGACCTGTGCCATGTGGTCAGCGTTGGCACTGAGCACAGTTTTCAGGCGGTTGGCCTCCTTCAGCAGCTTGGCCATGGCCCGGGGATTCTTCCGGACATCTTTTGAAGGGTGCTGCTCATTAAAGAGCTTTGCCAAGTAGTCCCGGAGACGAAGCTCCATCTCTAAACCTCCAAGAGTACGGTCAAACCTGAGCAAAAGAATGAAAGGAGATGAAACAACTGAAACCAAACTGAAATACAAACAAACTTCATGTGTTATTTTGCAAATATGCAGAGCAGCAAGTGGTCAAAAGTAGCTCCAGTATTATCAGCTGCGACTGACTGTGAAAGTACAACCAACCACCCAAATTTCTGTGCTGAAACCTCATTGTAAAGTTCTATATGTAGAAAAGACTGTGAAACAAATGGTTTCTTTCCTGAGACCTGTGGGGTTTCTGCAAAATGCGAAATTCTTACCCAATGCCCTGGATCTGCAATTGAGGTTGAGTTCCTGAGTCCTTAGTTTTCACTGTCTGATATGTAACAATAGTACAAATGGTGCTTCCTGCTCCCATGTCGTAAAACATGATATTCTGAAAAGAAAAGCTGGGACAGTGAGGCAGAAACACCTGGATATCCCGCATGAATAAGGAAAGAACCCATGGATTTCAGCATGATACAGGCCATGACTATCCACTCCCTGGACCAGCTTTATCCCGTAAGGGCAAGACTCAGACCAAACACAGGAGATGTTCAGGGTCACACTTGACAGAAAAGGGCAATAAAACTTTTCTCATCTATTTCATAGCTCAAAAACCAAAGCTTTGCCCTTTAAGTTTCTCCAACCTCAGGAAAATCAAGTACTTCCAAGTCCGTGTTCCAATATCTCAAGTAATCGTTACTGTTATTTCCCCCGGTTCATGGGCAAGGAACAAACACAGGTTTCACAAAACGGGAACTCCCAGCACCTGCTCTCACTCCAGAAGCTCTTAGGCTTCACCACACATGCACACCGGGTTTAACCTCTTTGTCTTGTTGATGAACGTGTGAAAAGAGAGGAGACTGGCTGACCAGCAGAGTCTGCCTTAAGTTCTTTGGATTTTCCCTGCAGCACTTTCTCCCCTGCGTGCAGGCACTTGGCAGGGCTCTCCGCATCTCCCAGCAGCACCTACCTGTGCAGTGGCATTGATGTCTTTCCTCCTAAAGACCCCATAGTTGAGTGCTACAGCCGTGTTGTCGTTGATGAGCTGCAGCACCTTGAGGTCAGCCATGCGGGCAGCGTGCAGAACCGCCCTCCTCTCCGCCTGGTTGAAGTAGGCAGGAACTGTGATCACCACGTCCTTGATAGGCTGCTCTGAAAAAGTTGCACAGAACATGTTTATTGATCAGTCAGCCACATGCAAAGACTTGTGACAGGGTGACAGCAGCAAAGCCAGAGGACCCAAGGTAAAGACTTGTACAGGATGCAATCCTACAGCAGCAGGAGGATGCCTAGGGATGAATCTCTGTGTCCTGCTGAAACCAAGCAGACCTGGAAGATTCTCACAAAGCCACGTGTCTACTGACCTCTTTCACAGGTCAGGATACTCTCAAATGCTTTGGGCTGCCTTCGATTTCAACAAATATTATCTTCATGGAGCCTTACATTACCTCTGGATCATGTTCACTCTACATACAGTAAAAAGTCCTTGGACTGGCTGTAGTGTCACTGACCACATGACACAGCCTCCTAATAATTTACCCAGTTTTCATTACTGTGGTATTTCATTAGCAACACAGCATGAAATACGCACGGCAGCCTCTTCTCTGTTAGCAAGTTTCACAGCAAAGAGCCTTTTTTGCTCTTTATTTGTAGCTCAGCTCCAGCAGCAAAGTCTCCATCCAGAGCAGGCACAGCACAGCCTTCACAGGGCAAATTCCACCCTCCCCTACAGCCACCTTCCCACGTGCCTCCGCTCTGATCACACTGAGAGAGGAAACACTTTTCTCCAGAGACTGTCTGTAAGGCTCCTTCACCACAAGGCTGGGTGGGAACTGGAGTGCCTGCCCACAGAAACAGGAATAAGTTCCCAAACTTGCATTATGTTAGAAACAAATGACAACTGGATAGTCTTGCTTACAGCCCACAGGTGGAGAGACCCAACATTCTGTTTCTAAAAACCCCTGAGTTTCCAAACACCTTTGGTGTCTACTTGAATCCTATAACGCATAAACACACACACACACAGACTGCAAGAAACAGCTAAATCCTTCCAACCTGCAAATTCCTCAGCCAGACCACGTGAATAGTTCAGGACCATCCCCAGCATCTCCTCAGGAGAATACTGTGTTGTTCTACAACAGGAAAGAAAATTATGGCATCAACAGTGAGCTGCAGAAGCCTGGCAGCCAAAGTCCCTCCCGCAAAGAACCCAAAAGCAGCCACTTACGGGGACAGCTTGAAGATAACGGTCTGCCTTGTCTCATCCTTCACCAGTTCATGCTCTGGGAAGCGGGACTGGTACAGTGCCACGTGGGGGTTATCCATTCGCTTCCCCAGCAGATCCTGGAAGTACCGGAATGCCACCTTGGGCGTCCTTATGGACTGCAGAAAAAAAAAGCACATCACCCACCTGCATTCCTTTGGCTACACCAGTCTCAGACCAACCCCTCCCAGGCTATGGGGGCAACAACTCTTGCTATGGGAGTAGGAGCATACAGCCAGTACACAGAGCAAGCAACACATCAAGGAGATGAGCAACACAGAACAACAAAATAAAACTCCCTGGCTCAGACATTCATCACAACCTTGCATACCAGTGTTCTGTGGACGGGAACTCTTACCATCCCCAAAGCGCTATCACCGAAGAGACGCTCGTTCTCCTTCAAAGAAACAGCCACGGGTGTTTTCCTTCGTGACTCCCTGCGGAGAGAGAGAGAGGAATAAACCAGTTGAAACAGGTGAACATTCCACACAGAGTCTCCAGTGAGGAAGGATGTTGTTTCCATTCCAGAAGGACTAAGGGAAGGTGCTCAGATACCTGCTGGGGAGAGGAGGACAAGCCTCTGCTCAGCTGAGGAACTGGCAGAGAAGTCCCCCTGCCACCTTCAGTGCTTTGCTGACACTTGCTTTGTTTTTGTTCTCCTCCACCCACGAGCAAGGCAAGACAGTTCCCTCATTCTAGCTATGACTGCCAAATGTCAGGGAGCTGGGTGAGAAACCTATTTGTTATCTTTAGTCTCCCAGAAAATAAGGATGTTCCCGATCATGTGTCCTCTTCCAACCACAGGTTCTTCACTCAAGGTCTTGGGGATGAGCTGCAGGAGCAGCTGAGTGCAGGGAAAGCTTCACCTGCTTCTTAACAAGTGTGGGCTCTGAACAGCTGCAGCAAAACAAACCTGGCTCTGGGCTGCCTTGTGGGGAACTGAGAATCAAGGGACAAGTGAGAACGTGACCTGTGCCCTTTCGGGTTCACACCAACACGTGTCCGTAACCACGTGGGCTTTCGGCACTCGCTGGAAAGGTGCCCAAAGCACCCCCAAGCCCCCCAGGGTGCCCTGGACGATGCCCCACAGCTGCTCACCGGGGGCAGGAGCGAGTCACAACCATGGGTGGAGGATGGGAGCGTCCCTCCGGCAGCAGAGGAACAGGGATGGATGGCTGAGCTCCAGTCATCCTCACCCCCGGGATCCAGCCCCGGTAGGACAGACCGGAGCCCCCCCGCCCCCCGTACGGCTCCCGCGGCGGAGCTAGGGACGCTGGAACAGCCGCTCACTTGTTCAGCACGATCTCCATGGGTACCCCGGGCTTCACGATGGCGATCTTCATCGACTCGCTGCCCACGTCCACCGACATCACGGCCACTGGCTCTGCAGACAAGCCCTCGGTGAGACCCTGCTCCCGGTGCCGGCGACCGGCAAGGGGTGAGCCCGGTCAGGGCCCTGGGGCGGCACCGAAGCACCGGCCGCTGCTCCCCCGCCGCCTCCCCCCGCGCTGCCCCGCACGTACCTGCGGCGGGCAGGAGGCACAGGAGAAGCAGCAGCCAGGGCAGCGCCCGGCCGGGCATCCGCGCCATGCTCGGCACCGCTCGGCTGGGCTGCACTAGGCCTGGCTCGGTTGGGCT